GGGGGCACGGGGGGTGTGGGGGGCACAGGGGGGGGTCCCACAGCCAGGCAGGTGGGGCTGAGGTGGGCGTGGTCCCACGGGGGGCGTGGCCTCTGCAGCCTCCAAAGCCCCCCCGTGCCCCCCTCCTCAGGGACCCTGTCCAGCATCCCCACGGCCCTGACGCGCTGGACCGAGGAGTGCAAGGTCCTGGACGCCGAGAGCATGCACGACTGCGTGTCCGGTGAGACCCCCGGGCAGCCCCCAGACCCACGAGCCTCGCCCCTCCTTCCCCTCCCGCTGCTCAGGGGGTCCCTCACCCCCAAATCTCCCCCCAGTGGTGAAGGTGCCCATCCCGGGGGTCCCTCACCCCCAAATCTCCCCCCCAGTGGTGAAGGTGCCCATCCCGGGGGTCCCTCACCCCCAAATCCCCCCCCAGTGGTGAAGGTGCCCATCCTGGCGCGGCTGGAGGCGCTGCGGGACGAGGAGCTGGACGAGCGGCGCGAGAAGCGCCGGCGCCAGGCGGCCGAGGACGAGGCCAAAGGCGCCGAGCGCGGCCCCGAGGACAAGGACGGGCCCGAGGCCCAGGTGAGAGACCCCCAAAAACCCCCCCAAAACCTCCCCTGGGGGGGGGGCGTGGGGAGAGTTCCCTCCTCCATCCCCCCCTCCCCACCTTTCCCGTCTCCCGCAGGACGCGGCGTCCAAAGCCGGCCCCGCCTCGGCCGACGTCGCCCCCCCAGGTAAATCCCCCCGGCTCCCCCGGACCCCCCCAACCCTTTCAGCGGCCGGGCCCCCCCAAAAAAGCCCCCGAATCCCCCCCTGGAGCTGGCGCCGCGCGGGCTGAGGTAGTAGATTGTATAGTTGGAGGGTCACACCCCCGGCTGGAGATAACTATACATTCTACTGTCTTCCTCGCGCGGCGCGCGCCGCCGCAGCCGGGGGGTCCCGGGGGTCCCACCCCCGCATCCACGAGGGGGGGCTCAGCTGGGGAAATCTGGAGGTTTTGGGGGGTTTCAAGGGGTTTTTGGGGTTTTACTCTAGGGGGGGTTGTGGGGGGCCTCAGGGGGTTTGGAGGGGGTTGATGGAATTTGGGGGGATTCAGCTCTGGGGGGGGATGGGCTCTCCCTGGGTCCCCCCCGTGTTTGTTCCTCCCCACCCCAAAGTTGTCCCCTCCCCCCAGAACCTCTCCCATCCCCACTGGGGACCCCCCCCCATTTTAGGGTGCAGCTGCACATCCGGGATCCCCCAAAATGGGGATAAAGGGAGGTTTTGGGGTGTGGGGGGGGAGGGGGGGGCTCCCAGATTTCTGGCTCCCCCCCAATGTTGATCCCTGCGTGTGTCCCACCCCCCCCTCCCCCAGAACACAGCGGGACCGCGGGAGAGACCCCCTCTCCCGGTCCCCACCGGACCCTGGTGATGCTGGAACCGACGCCGACCCCCCCAGACCCCCCCCCGGGAGCCCCCCAAATCCCCGCTCGCCCCCCCCAGCCCCCCGAGCACGAAGAGGGGGGGCCCGGACGACCCCCCCAGGACGCCGAGGCCACTCAGATGGAGCTGTCGCCCGCCCCCACCATCAGTAAGCGCCGGGCTTTTTGGGGGGATCCCCCCGGGGGTTTTCTCTGTTTTGGGGTGGGGAGGGGGCGTCCCCGGATTTGGGGGGCTCCAGTGTCCTGTCCCCCCCCCCCAGCGTCGCTGTCCCCGGAGCGGGCGGAGGACTCGGACGCGCTGACGGCCGTGAGCAGCCAGCTGGAGGGGTCCCCCATGGACACCTCGAGTTTGGCCTCCTGCACCTTGGAAGAGTCGGGGGGGGCTCCCCCTGCCCCCACAGCCCCCCAGAACCCCCCCGGGACCCCCCAGGGACCCCCTCCCGCCCCCCCCGACGCCGCTCAGCCTCCTGACGACAGGTGAGAGCCGCCCCTCGCCGTGGGGAGGGGGTCGTGGTTCTGGGGTGTGTCCCCCCCCCCTCCCAGTGACGTCACCACTCCGGGATGTCCCCCCCATGTCCCCCCCAGCTCCCCCCCGGCCTCATCCTCGGAGAGTTCGTCCACCCGGGACTCGGCCGGGGCCATTTCCGGGGCCGACTCGAGGGGGATCCTGGAGGAGCCGCTGCCGTCCACCAGCAGCGAGGAGGAGGATCCGCTGGCCGGTCAGTGCCACCCTGTGTCCCCTCTGGTCACTCAGTGCCACCCTGTGTCCCCCATGGCCAGTTCTGTGTCCTCTGTCACCCTCCACAATCCCCCATCTGTCCCCCCGGGATGTTTTGGGGTCCCTGGGGAGGTTTTGGGGGTCCCTGGGGAGGTTTGGGGGTCCCTGATGGTTCCAGGGATGTCCCCGGGGGCTCCAGGCGGTTCCCCGGGGTGTCCCCAACGCGTCCCCGCGGTGCCCGCAGGGATCAGCCTCCCCGAGGGCGTGGACCCGTCGTTCCTGGCGGCGCTGCCGGACGACATCCGGCGGGAGGTGCTGCAGAACCAGCTGGGGATCCGCCCGCCCGCGCGGGCCCCGCCCGCCGCCAGCCCCGCCCCGCCCGTGGTGGCCAATCCCGGCCTCACCGAGGTCAGCCCCGAGTTCCTGGCGGCGCTGCCCCCGGCCATCCAGGAGGAGGTGGGTGTGGCCGCGGGGGGCGGGGCCACGGGGTGGGTGTGGCTGTGAGGGGTGTGGCCTCTTTGGGGTGTGTGCATCAGGGTGTGGCTCTGGGTGTGCTCCTGTGTCGGTGTGGTCTATGGGCGTGTCCATGGGCGTGTCCCGTGTGGGCGTGTCCCTTGTGGGCGTGTCCCGTGTGTGGGTGTGTCCCGTGTGGGTGTGTCCCCCGTGTGGGTGTGTCCCCCATGGGTGTGTCCCACGTGTGGGTGTGTCCCCCGTGGGCGTGTCCCGTGTGTGGGTGTGTCCCGTGTGTGGGTGTGTCCCGTGTGTGGGTGTGTCCCCCGTGGGCGTGTCCCATGCCCAGCGCAGTTCCGTGTCCCTGGGCGTGTCCCGTGTGTGGGCGTGTCCCGTGTGTGGGCGTGTCCCCCGTGGGCGTGTCCCCCGTGGGCGTGTCCCGTGCCCAGTGCAGTTCCGTGTCCGCAGGTTCTGGCGCAGCAGCGCGCGGAGCAGCAGCGGCGGGAGCTGGCTCAGGCCACGGGCTCGGACGCTCCCATGGACCCGGTGACGTTCATCCAGACGCTGCCGTCGGAGCTGCGGCGCTCGGTGCTGGAGGACATGGAGGACTCGGTGCTGGCGGTGATGCCGCCGGACATCGCGGCCGAGGCGCAGGCGCTGCGGCGCGAGCAGGAGGCGCGGCAGCGGCAGCTGATGCACGAGCGGCTCTTCGGCCACTCCAGCACCTCGGCGCTGTCGGCCATCCTGCGCAGCCCCGGTGAGGGGGGGCCTGTCCTGCTGCCCCCGTCCCTCCTCTGTGTGCCCCCCCTGTCCCCCCTGTGTGCCCCCCCTGTCCCCTCTGTGTGCCCCCCCTGTCCCCCCTGTGTGCCCCCCCTGTCCCCTCTGTGTGCCCCCCCTGTGTGCCCCCCCC